CGGGCTTCAACCGAGGCGCTGCTACCACCTGCGAAGTAAAACAGACGGCCAGCCTCTCAGAGGTTCATGAGTTACCATTTCCGGTTTTAGAGCTTCACCTCCCCAGAAAGTGCACTCCGTTATTCATACACAAATACTCGAAAGAGCATTTTTAAAATATCAAAAGTGGTAACAGCCCGGCGTTAAATGTGTATATATCACCTCGCCGTCCTGGGCCACGTCTCCTTCCTCGGATAACCGCTGTTGGTGCTGTAAACAACCAGATCTACACATACACAAAAAATATACAGTCGGAGGTAAAGGTCTCATGACTTTCATATTCATTACTTGTTGTTTTTTTAAATCCGAGACCAAACGATACATAATGTTTTGGAACTTACTCTTTTGCTTACTGCATCATGGACATAGTTTCATATTAACACGCATAGATCTCCCTAATACTTCTAATTTTTTCCAAACAGCTTTCTTGAGGTCTAATTGACCAAATAGACTGCACATACTTAAAGCGTACAATTTTGATAAGTTTTGACCCCTTGAAACCATCATGGGATTCAAAATAATGAACGTATGCATATCTCCAAAACGTTTCCTTACACCCTTTTGCGACCCCTCTGTCAACACTTTCTGACACTATGGATTAGTTTGCATTTTCTGGAATTTTATATAAATTGAATCACAGAGTATGTACTCTTTTTTTTGTCTGGCTATTTGCACTGAACATAATTGTTTCGAGATTCGTTCATGTTGTTGCATGTATCATAGTTCTTTTTATTGAGTAATATTCCTCTGTACGGATAAACCACAGTTTGTTTATATATTCACCTGAGGATGGACATTGAGTTGTTAATAGTTTGGGGCTATTACAAATAAAGCTGTTATGAACGTTATTTGTATGGACATATGCTTTCATTTCTTTTGGATAAATACCTAGGAATGGAATAGCTGCATTGTATGATAGGTGTATGTTTAACTTCTAAAAAAGACAGCCTTGCCAGTGTATTTTCCAAAGAGGCTATTTTACGTTCCCACCAACAGTGTATTAGGGCTCCATTTCCTCCACAGCCTCACTCATACATTTTAATCTAATAAATGTCCAGAGGTATCACAATGCAGTTTTAATGTACATTTCCCTAATGAATAATGAGGTTGAGCATTTTTTCATGTGCTTATCTACCATCTATGCATCTTTTTTGGTAAAGTCTTTATTCACATCTTTTCCTAATTTTAGTTGGGTGTTTGTTCTCTCATTATTGAATTTGGAGAATATTTTATATATTCTGGATACAAATATTCTATCAGATATATGACATAGCTATTTTTTCCCCAATCTGTGGCTTTTCTTTTTACTCTCCTTTTGAAGAGCAGATGTTTTCATTTTGACAGAATTCAGTTTATCAATTTGTTCTCTTATGGACTCTGATGTCAAATCTAAGAAATCTTTGCCTAAGCCATGCTTACAAAAATTTTCTCCTATATGGCTTATAATTTTTAGATGTTACATGTAGGTGTATATTCATTTAACTTTTGTGTGTGGTTCAAGGTATGAATCAAAGTTCATCTGTTTTGTAAATGTATATCCAGTTATCCTATCACTAGCTTTTTTTTTTTTAATATGTTTTTATTGATTTCAGAGAGAGGAAAGGAGAGGGAGAAAAACATCAATGATGAGAGAGAGTCATTGATCGGCTGCTTCCTGCACACCCCCCACTGGGGATGGAGCCTGCAATCCAGGCATGTGCCCTGAGGAAATTGAACCCTGACCTCCTGGTTCATAGGTGGACATTCAACCACTGAGTCACACAAGCTGGGCCTATCATCAGCTTTTGAAGAGCCTATTATTTTTCTCCACTGAACTGCCTTTGCACCTTTGTGAAAAATCAGTGGCCCTTGTACGTGTGGATCTATTTTTAAACTCTCTATTCTGTTTGATATATTTGTCCATCTTTATGCCAACAGCAAAGTCTTGATTTCTGTAACTTTAAATAATTATTAAAATCAAATACATTTAGTCTTTCAACTTGTTCTTTTTAAAAGCAATTTTGGCTATTCTATATTCTTTGCATTTCCATATGAATTTTAAATTTAACTTGTCAATATCTACAAAAAATCCTACTGGGATTTTGCTAGAAATTGACTTAAATCTAGAAATCAATTTGGGGAGAATTCATATTTTAAAAATATTAATTTTTCAAACCCAAGAACACAATGTATCTCTCCATTTATTTAGGTCTTCTTTAATTTCTCTCAAAGTTTGAATTTTTATACAGGTCTTGAGCACATTTTCCCCCGCCAGAGGTATATTTACTTATTTTCCTATCTTTCGCTATTGTTAAATCCAATTTGCTAAAATTTCATTTAGAATTTATGCATCTATGTTCATGGGGGATATTGGTTTATAATTTCCTTTTCTTGTGATAAATAGCCTTGTGAGATTTTGGTATCAAGTAACCCTGGCCTTATAGGCCATGTTGGGAAGTACTTCCGTCTCTTCAATATTCTAGAAAAGTTTGTGTAAATGGTATTATTTATTAGTTAAATGTTTGGTAGAATTCACCAATGAAGTCATCTGGGCCTGGAGTTTATTTTGTGGGAAGGTTTTTATCTACAAATTCAATTACTTTAGTAGATAGAAGACTACTCAGTTTATCTGTTTCTTCCTGAATGAGCTTTGGAAGTTTGTCTTTCAAGAAATGTGTCCATTTCATCTAAGTTGTTAAATTGATTCATAATATGGTTCATAATATTTTCTTATTATTCTTTTAATGTCTGTAGTACCTGTAATGATGCCACCTTTTTCATTCCTGATATTGATAATTTCTGTCTACACTCTTTTTTACCTGATCAGTCTGGTTAAAGGTTGTCGATTTTATTGATCTTTTCCAAGAAACAGCTTTTGGTTTCACTGATTTTCTGAATTGGTTTTCCATTTGTTTGTTTTATACTTTATTAATTTCTGCTCTGATATTTGTTTCCTGTCTTTTGTTTACTTGGGTGAGTTGAATTTGATATTTTTCTCCAGTTTCTCATGGTTGGAGTGAAATTCATTCTTTTAGTGCTATAAGTATCCCCCTAAGTACTGTTTCAGTGGCACATCACCAATACCTAAATGAAGGGCATCTACTAAATTCAGTATGTGTTTCCCCTTCCTCTATAGCAGTGAAAGAACTCTCTCAAGGCAGTGAAATGCGGGCAATCATAAGACTTCTATCTTGTGTCTTGAAAGCTGTTGTTTCATAAGTTTTATTCTATATTGGAAGTGGGAGTGTTGTTTCTGCAGAGGGTATATTCAGTCCCTGTTTCTCTATATTGATTAGAATGAGAGGTCTCAAACTTTGCAATGGCTGAAAGAGAAGTTTCCCTTATATGGAAACATCACAAGTCCTTTAACTATTCTCCTATTGCTAGATTTTTAGTTTTACTATCAGAAGTATGCTGTGAAGGTCATATATTTGGTGCATGTCTGTGAATATTACTGAAGAATAGTCCTATAACTGGAATTGCTGGTTCAAATATTTATTTTAATAGCTATGGTCATATCTAAAATAAATGTTAGATAACTATAATATACTTGATTTCAAACTAAGGAGCACACAATTATGTCAATAATATATATTTTTAAAAGCATCTCTGTATAGCTCTTTTGTAGGAAGTGTCATTGTCATGATTTGAGCAAACAGTGATTCTGGTTGTTAGAATCAGGATACTCTAGGCTATGCTTCAGCACCATACTGCAAATTCTAGTGATTTAACACACAAAGGTTTATTTCTCAGTCATATTCCAATTCTCTCACAATTCAGCTAGGTGCTCTGGTCCCTGTTGTCTTCTTCATTCTGGGACCAAAGATGATGGAACAGTTACTATATAAAAAGTTGTCAGTCTGTGACTGAGGGAAAGAGACAGTGGGACACATACCTTGCATCTTATGCTTCTAAATATATGTCAATTCCATTCTTATTTTATTGGTCAAAGCTAGTCAAAATGGCCACACCTAACTTTAAGTGGGTGAGATAATCCAATCTTACCATATGCCTGGAAGGAGAAACCTGGAATATTTGGAAATAGCTGTAATGACGGTCACTTTAGTAACAGTGTGCGATCAAAAATTTCACAAAAATATTTTAAAGCATAAAAAAAAGGTTTCACTTTTATAAAGTTCAGGGAGGGGAAGTCCTCAAGATTGCAGTCACTTCTGACACCAACTGCAGATATCAGGGATCCTCAAGACTACACTGCTTCTAACAACAATTGTTAAGTTTGGGGGTCTCCAAGACGAGCCTCAGATTGATGGATAATTCTCTAAAAGGACTCACAGAATTCACTGAAAGCCGTTATATTCATGGTTATGCTTTATTACAGTGAAAGAATACAGATTAAAGTCAGTCAACGGAAGAGATGCATGGGACAGAGTCCAGGAAAGTTCCACATGGGAGCTACCAGTTGTCATCTACCAGTGAAGTCATGGACAGCACTAATTCTCCCAGCAATAATGCATGACAATATGCATGGAGTACTGCCAACTGGGGAAGCTCACTTGAGCCTTGGTGTCCAGAGTTTTACTGGGGCTTGGTCACGTAGACATGGTTGGCTGCCTTTGTGGCTCACCTTTAGTCTTCAGTCCCTCCACAGGTCCGGTTGATAACTGTGTGGCCCAAAACTCTCACCATATGTCACATTGTTAGACCATTTGGTGTGGTCCAAAGCCCCAAGTAAACAAAGACAGTCTGTCTTATCAGGCAGAACATTCCAAGGCCTTAGAGATCACACTGCAGGACATGAGGACAAAGACCAAACTTCTCTTTGGGTAAGCTTAATTCTTTACTACACGGGTTAAATCATATTTGACTTAACATCGTTTCAGAATGCTACAATTAAATTGCCTATGGATCCTATTTGAAAGAAAAATACATTTGAACTGTATCAGTAGTAATATTTGCTACCTAGTAAAAAGTCTTTATTTTGGGCTTTTTACTAGGTAGCAAGTGATGGGGGGGAAAAAATCAATGCCATATTTATTTTAATATATAAATTGTGTGCTTTCCCCCAAAAAACTTAGCTACACTTCCCACTTTTCTACCTTGCACTTCACCAAAAGCATTACCTACATAAAAAGACACTCAGAGATTTGCTTTGTTATTATTTGTTCCGTGTGAACCTTACAATGAATTTAATTGTGCTCTGAAGATCTATCCTGCTTCCTTTTAAAATTTTGGTATTTAATATTTTAAAAGGTATATGATCTATTTTCTAAATAGGTTAAGATTTTTCTGCCTACTCAAGAGATTTTTGAGATTCAACCTTCACTTCACATTTTTTGAGATTAAGCTTTCCCCAAAGGAAATTAGTAAAGGAACTATTTGCTCTCTGCTCCCCCTGTTTTACAGACTCTGTCTTCTTGCACAGCGCCAGCCACAACCCTGAGACACAATGGTGAAGGTCACAGTGAACAGATTTGGCTGTATTAGATGCCTGGTCACCAGGGCTGATTTTAACTCTGGCAAAGTGAAAGTTGTCACCATCAATAATCCTTTCATTGACCTCAACTACATGGTCTACATGTTCCAGTATGATTCTATTCATGGCAAGTTCAAAGGCACAGTCAAGGCTGAGAACTGGAAGCTTATCGTCAATGGAAAGTCCATCATCATCTTCCAGGAGCAAGATCCCATCCACATCAAATGGTATGATGCTGGTGCTGAATATGTTGTGGAGTTTGCTGGTGTCTTCACTGTCTTGGAGAAGACTAGGGCTCACTTGAAGGGTGAAGCCAAGAGAGTTATCATCTCTGTCCCTTCCGAAGATGCCCCCATGTTTGTGATGGATGTGAACCATGACAAGTATGACAATTCCTTCAAGATTATCAGCAATGCCTCCTGCACCACCAACTGCTTGGTGCCCCCTGGCCAAGGTCATCATGACAACTTTGGCATCGTGGAGGGACTCATGACCACAGTTCATGCCATCACTGCCACCCAGAAGACTGTGGATGGCCCCTATGGGAAGCTGTGGCATGATGGCCAAGGGGCTACCCAGAACATCACCCCTGCTTATACTGGCACTGCCAAGGCTCTGAGAAAGATCATCCCTGAGCTGAATGGGAAGGTCACTGGCCTGGCCCTCTGTGTCCCCACCACCAATGTGTCATTTGTGGATCTGACCTGCCGCCTGGAGAAAGCTGCCAAATATGATGACATCAAGAAGGTAGCAGGCATCAGAGGGCCCTCTCAGGGCATCTCAGGCTACACTAAGGACCAGGTCATCTCCTGCAACTTTAACAGTGACACCAACTCCTCCACCTTCAATGCTGGGATTGGCATTGCCCTCAGTGACCACTTTGTTAAGCTCATTTCTTGGTATGAAAATGAATTTGGCTATAGCAACAGGGTGGTGGACCTTATGGTCCACATGGCCTACAAGGAGTAAGAGTCCCCTGGACCACCAGCTCCGCTGAGAGGAAGAAAGGCCTTCAGCTACTGGGGAGTGCTGGGCTCAAATCAATCCCCCAACACACTGAGAATCTCCTGACTCCACAGTTTTCATCCCAGACCCCCTGAAGAAGGGGAGGGGCTTAGGGAGCCCTACCTTGTCATGAAGAACCATCAATAAAGTTCACTGTACCCAGCCAAAAAAGAAAAAAAAAAAAAAGGAAGGAAAAAACTATTTAACTTTACTAAAAAATTAAGGTTATTCATTTTAAAATCACAAATGCCAACTAATGTGTCTCTAAATGTGAAAAAACTTACTGCTGTTTGTACCATGTTCAAACACAGTGTGAAGCCCCTATAAAAGGGGGCTTTATGAAGTAAGTATTTACAAATAGGTCAGGGTTAGTCATCACCAACAACATTGATTCAAAGCCATCACCCTGTTTTGAAGCATGAATATAGTCAAGGGGATTGCATAGAGCTCAAGATTTTAATAACACTATGATGTAAGGTAGCCTTGTCCTGCACAGCCTTGGGGCTCTGAACTTATTATTTCTTAAAACAAGTAAGAAAAATGATTTTTAATATGTTGCTTTTCACTTATGCTTTTCTAGTCAAGTCTTTATAGCGCAAAGTCATCAAAATAAAATGTAACATTGAGCTGTTTTCCAACTTTGTAGATTACATGGTTTTAAAAGCTGTAACTTAAATAAAATAATTCTGCAAATACACTGTTTTAAAAAGAAATAAATGAATTTATTGTTTAAACATTGAATTTAGTGTTCGAACATTTCACAGGCATACTTTGTTGATTTAGAGATAATTGTCTCCCATTGCTTTATTTATGAAAGGCAAAACCCTGTGTTATTTAATTGTCAGCACAAATCCAGGATCATTGAGAGAAACAGGGTCAGTCATTCTAAATCATTTAATAAAAGTAGGTTAGTAGGTCATATTTTATAGCTGTCCTGGCCATCCACCATTTTTAAGAGCATTTCAAAAAGTAGTCACTAGCAAAAATGAAAATTCTTAGCCTTTTGACCAAAAAGAAAAATTTAACACTGAAATTTTTTTTATAAATAGTAGTAAACTCAAGTTACTAAATTTTTATTTCCTTGTTTATGGCAAATTTCCCTATGTTAATTCCAAATCTTTGAAAAATGACATATCTTAAGATTGAAAATTAAGTTTACAATAGTTTAACTTAACTTACTGGATTTAGAAATCCAAAGGGAGTTCTTTTTTAATGATTATCATTCATTAACTTAAGGAATTTGCTGTATTGCTAATCAGTTACACTAAGGTCATAAAGTAGAACAATTGTCAGAGGAAATAGGAAAAAATACTGTAATATTTAATGGAAGTAATATTTAAAATGCCGCATCATAGCAGTACTCTGACAACACACACACACCAATCAAGTACCCAAACAGAAATAGGGCAGCTCTTTGTTACAAACTATTGAGGAGACATTGGAAAAACAAGCTCACAGACATCAGCAAGGTTTGCAAGTCGCTGACATTGGTAACCAACCCAGGACAGACAACACTGCAAAAGTACAAACATCTGGGCAACACAGCTAGGTACTCGTGACAATAATATTCACTACAGCTCACATCGCCGCTGAACACACACACACCTGCAGCAAGGCTCCTGGATGGTGGTGTTAAAGTCATTACAACAGCAGAAATTAATACAGAGCACAGCATGTCTGGTTTTTACATTTCCATGTATGGATTCCACATATTGAGTAAAATTATACACTCAACATTTACTATAGGGAGAGTTACATCTTCAAATCTTTCCTGTGAGCCTTATAAAAACATGGGGTGAGGTATGCAAAACATGTACAAAATAAAAATCTAGACCCTGGCCGGTGTGGCTCACTGGTTGAGCATTGACCCATAAACCAAGAGGTTGCTGGTTCAATTCCTGGTCAGGGCACATGCCTGGGTTGCAGGCTTGATCCCAGTGGGCAGTGTGCAGGAGGCAGCCAATCGATGTTTCTGTCTCATTAATCTTTCTATCTCTCTATCGCTCTCCCTTCCTTTCTCTCTAAAAATCAATAAAAATATATTTTAAAAAATCTAAATGAAACCACTTTCCTGCATATCCAGCACTTGGAGTGGTGTGGGGTCTAAGATGGGCTTGGAGGAGAAGTCTAGACTTTTGAGAATTCAGAAAGCTCTGGATTTAGGAGGAATGATTTTTACCAGAAGAAGGGAGGAGTTCTTATGTGTGAGGGTTGGAGCTATTTTCTTTCATGATTTGTAGCATATGTATTCAGTTTGGGTTGCATCATAGTCAAAGAGTGTATTTTAGATCCCCAAATCCTTGTTGAGTATTTTTGCCTTTATATTTAAAAAAAAGAGGTTTTCACCCTAGCTGAGTTTGCTCAGTGGTTAGAGTGATGGCCCTTGGGTTGGATTCCAACAAAGGACAGGTGCCTCTGTTGCAGCCCCGGCCCTGGTCCGGGGTGAGTGTGGGATGCAGCCAATCGATGTGCACCCCCCCCATCTCTCCCCCTTCCACTCTCTCTGAAAAGCAATGGAAAAAATATCCTCAGGTGAGGATTAAAAAAAACAAAAAACCTTTTTTTTTTTCAGAGAACATATTGTTACTCATTTACCTTTATCAGCATTGATCACACTTTCCTACTTTTACGGAAGTTATCAAGTCTCTGAAAGGAAATCATGACACCATCCACTGATGAATGAAATGTGTCTCATTAAGAGCAAANACCTTTTTTCTTTTCAGAGAACATATTGTTACTCATTTACCTTTATCAGCATTGATCACACTTTCCTACTTTTACGGAAGTTATCAAGTCTCTGAAAGGAAATCATGACACCATCCACTGATGAATGAAATGTGTCTCATTAAGAGCAAATGGCTGTTGAGTCATATCCTGAAAGTGAGTCCTTACTTTTAGCAGAATAATTACACAGGTGCTTCAGAAGAGAACCCAGTCAAACTCATTATATTGATATATTTCCCTGTGGAACAGTTTTCATTTTCAATCCAGAAAAATTCACTAATATTAAACTTGTAGAATTACCTACATAGGTTGCCATTAACAAGCAGTGTTGGTGATGGACAACTACTTCATTGACTTCTGAGTACAAATTAGTTGCATTTCCTTGAATTAACTACCTGGAAAATTGTGCTAAAAACATTAATTAATAAATCACAGCATTTCCTATACAACATTCACAGCATCCCGAGCATTTTTTCTAATTGTTCTTAGTATAGAGTTTGAACATTATGCAACCATGAAGAGTAATGGATTTGAACAAAAGTTCCTTTCCCCAAACTCAAATTCCCCTATATTGTGGAAATTGTATAAGACCTATTTTAAAATAGCCTAAATTTAATTTAGACTTATTTTTGCTATTATTTCATAGAGATGTGTTGAAAATTATAATGACTATACCTCTGAATTATGCAAAAATATCTCCAAATAGTTTTAAAATTAAATGCTTCAAATTTTAAACTTCTGTGTGCTGCCTCTTGTAAAGCAGGGGAGATATAAGGAGGGCAGCCCCACTTAGATTTCTCTGACTAGATGACATCATATTATCCTATTGTCTTAGCTTGGGTTTGTCTGACCCACAGACCCAATTGCAGACATTTTTCTAGACATAGGACAATAATGGAAAATGATTTTTTGAGTACACTTTTTAATGTCTTATTCCATGATGAAAGACTATGGATACAGTCTCTAGTTTTCCCCCAGTTGCTCTGGACACTCCTCTCTTTGGCTGGTTCACCCTCATCTCCTCAACCTTTCAACATTAGTGACCATGGCCCAGTTCTAAGAGCCCATCTCCTCTGCTGATTCTCTCAGTGATGTTAGCTCTTCTCATAGTTTTGTGCTCAATATGTTAGTGACTTCCAACTCTGTATTTTCAGTGTTCACCTCTCTCCTGAACTTGACTTTTATATCCAATTCTCTATTTGACTTCTCTTGGGTTTCTGGTCGTCACCTCAGACTTATGTCCAAAGTAATATAATATTGTATGTCAACTTTAATCGAAAAATAAATTTAAACAACACACACACACACAAAAACCCAAAACAAAGCAACTCCCAGATCTTCTTCAAAACCTGCCTCTTGTTGTTATCCTATCTCAGGAAATAGCAACACCGTGTTTCTAGTTGCTCAGGTCCAAAACATTGGAATCATCTTTGACTCCTCTGCATTGTCTCACATGCAACATACAGTCTGTCATCAAATCTTTTCAGCTCTGCCTTCAAAACATGTCCAGAATCTGAACATTTCTCACACCTGGACTACCACATCCTGGTTCAAGCCACCATCACCTCTCACCTGGAGTGTGCGGTGGCCTCCTAACTGGCCTCCCTGTCTCTACTCTTGCTTCTACAAATTTTATTAAATTAAAAAAAAATTAAAGTATAACACAGTAACTCAACATTTATATACCTTGCAATGTGGTCACCACAATAAGTCTATGACTGTACCTACAAAATATATGCAGTAGCCAGAGTAGTCCTCTTGGAGGGTCAGCTTGTGCCACTCCTGCTAGAGACCCTCCAACTGTGTCCTTGCTCAGGGTAAAACCCACTCCTCACAAGCACCTGAGAGACCTCCCGCCCCGTTTCTTTGGTTTCCTCCTCTGCTGCCTCCTCCTTCCCCCTCCCCCCACACTAAGCACAAGGGGCTCCTCCTGTTCCTCCCACCCTCCAGGTACACTCCCGCCCGCGGCCTTCGCACTCACTTCCCCTCCACCTAGAATGCTCTTTCGGCAGATATCTGCAAGGCTCATTACCACCCTCCCTGGGGCTTTACTCAAATGCCACCTGCTTTTTTTCTCCTTAGTACTAACCGATATACAATACACAATATGTTTTGTTTCTCTCTCTCTCTCTCTCTCTCTCTCTCTCTCTCTCTCTCTCTCTCTCTCTCTCTCTCTCATGTAGGCTCCAAACAGGCAGAGGTTTTGGTGTGTTATGTTCACTGCTATGTCCTCATTACTT